CATATTTTTCCAACCCCCTGGGGCCGGGGGGTCCTCACGAAGAACTCTCTTGGTTTTGAGCCACTGCTTCCCCCTAAGTGCAGTCTGTGTCACAGGAACAACTGAGTCTATGGCCACAAGAAAAGTCTAGCCAAAAGGCTACTTCAAATCATCTCTCCCCATTCAATCATCTCCACGTTTTTCGGGCCAGGTCTTTGTCTCATTTCATCTCTTATCTCCCTTCTTATTCAGCTTCGAAGAAAATTAGCATTTTTGCAAGGCCCCAATCATGCAAGAAAGGGTTAAAAGTTTTCAGTCTCTGTCTGTCCCGGAATGCTGGTACTCCCACAGGTGCTGCTGCTCCGCTGGCCAGGCTGCACTCTTCTTCCCCCTTTCTCCTCCCGGGCTGGCTGCTATTACATTCAGACGCTGGCTCTCTTCTCTCTCCCTCCAGGAGGGAGAATGACTGCCCGATGTCTCTTAAGGCTCTTCCACCCTTCCATCCTTGAGAGCTTTTTCACCCCCATCTCTGTCCAGGCCCCGGGCCTACCGCATGGCTGCCCCTCCCCCGCCCAGCAGCAAAGCTGAACAGGAGAAGGTAATCTGACTTCTTCGAAGCGACGTCCCAAGAGAAAGTGCCAAGGGCAGTGCCCTGCTTTTTAACCCCTGTGTATTCTCAGAAGTGTGTCTAAACCCCACTAGCTACACTAAGTGCTAGTCTCAAACTCAAAACCTTCATTAGTTTGACCACAGCTTCTCAGAATTCTCACTTCTTCTTAGTCAAACCACTACACAGATCCTCACTGATAAGTTTGATCTGAAGATGCAAAAGATAACCAGGGAGTAAAAGGCAATAACACATCTAAAATATCATCTGCTTCTTAAAAAAACATGCTATTTTGTAGTTGAAACCACGAAAATCTAGAGAAATTGATTTTTTTTCCTTATGAGAACCTGTATGTATGATTTACTCAGGAAGATGGATATACACAGCATAAACTTGTCGTTCATTAATATCTGTGTTGAATAAGAGACTAACACTTTGGAGTGTCAGACTTTAAATATACATTTAATTTTAGATTATGTAGTCTGTATCAGGATCTGTAATCAACTGAACATATTTTAGATACAAAATTGATTAATAATTTTTAAAAAGTCTAGCTGTAGAAGAGAGAGGAGTTCAACACTGTCCTACTGTAAGACACAAACTCCAAATGGAAAATCCCAATTTGTACACTAGTGTTCTAGGTCTAGAAGTCTGCTGACATTTGAAATCACCTTTTCATTGAACCTGTATATATGAAATGTATTTCTCATAAACAGAAAAAAAATCAAAATAAAAAGATTCTGGAAAGTGGCCCAAAGAAAACAGTTTTTAAACTCAGAGAAGGTATTTCTCTTGAATGGTGAAAAGCTAGCAATTAGCACCAACTGTGAGGCTGTGATTTGTGAAGGCAAACTATATTTAAGCACAGTGAGGTTACTGTGTTTGCATCACTTAGAGCTGTCATTTTCACAAAACATTTAAGTAACAAAATGCAGTGTAACCAACAATCAGGGATAATAAATATTGGGGCTGTATGAACACTTTCTCCTCTTTTCCCACATCCCTTCCAAGATTTCCATGTGTTCTGCATGGATTAGCCTTCCCTGAACATTACAACACGTGCATTTGCAGTCAAAGGCCTTGCCAGACCACTAGAGCAGCTGTAAAACCACCCATGCACAGAATATTAGCAGACAGTGATATTTACTTCATTGTAGAATATCCTGTTATCAGAACTCTGATTTGGAGAGTTCTCCAGCCAGCCATGAGTGAAAGTGCTACATTCAAGAACAGTTTGAAATTCAACAGAATTCACATGAAGATTTATTCATGTAATTATCATGTTAAAGTATAGGTAGTGAGTTATGATTGCCTCCAATAATATCTTAGTCCACATATGACCAGTTTGTCAAAAGAATTCAGATAAGATACTGAAACTGATTAAATAAATTATTTGCTTAACTGGAGGAAATGCCTGGATATGGTCATTTTGGTGTGATGGATGGCCCATTAAGTCACGGCCAGTTGGGGGATTTTTTGTTTGTTTGTTTTGAAAGATTGTGAAAAACTTGTTTTCTAAAAGAGGAGTAACAGTGTAAAACCCAATAAAATCTCATTAAAACTCTCTAAGTACTATATGAGATTCTTTAGAGAGGTGTAGGAAAGAAGGCATCTGAGTTAGGAAAATAGCTTACTATGGAAAAGACAAATCTGCCTTCTTTAGGTAAAGAAAAATGAAATAATTTAGTGCTCTGATCTAGGAACATTTATTGCAGCAAGGAAACTACATTTACATTGTTTAGCACAAGAAAACTAAAAGCATTGGGCTGCTAAAAACCAGGAAAACCCCCAGATATGGGGTGTGTTTTCCTGCTTATTTTCCTTTTTTTTTTTTCCTTAACCTGATGTACATTGAAGTTAGCTGGAAAAAATCTTTAATGGGTTAATTAGAGTTATTCCATGCAAGAGTGACATTATTGTGGGAAAGCAGCTTTGCAGACAGGGAGCAATGCATAGACAGCCCCTCTGCTCACAGGGAGCTCATGGCCGTGTGTGCCTCCCCCCTCCTCCTGCACAAGGTCTGTGCCCCCCATGCTCCCCACTGACCATCATCGTGGGAGGCACTGCTGCTTGCTGCACCGCACTCTGGGGGCTTTAGCTGAGGGGAGATGTGCTTTGGCACCATGAGAAAGCCAATTTCAGTGAGAGCAGGGCTGACTTGGGCAGAGCTCTGTGGCTGAGCACCTGTGGCCGCTGTGCTGGGGAAGGAGAGCCCCAGACGAGCCTGTCACTTGGAGGGACCTGGGTGCCCTCATTCTGTTTGGTAAATGTGGAAAGCCCCACTATTTTATGGCAGTCTTATATGTCTTCACAAGAGAATCTGAAATTCCGCCATTTAGAGAAAGAAGGAGGAATGTGTGTTGAGAAGGCCTGGCAATGAAGTATTCCACCCCCAGCTCTGTCAATCCACCTTCAGCAGACAGGGCATCCTGACCCCAGGGGCTGTGTGTTGGCTGGAACCTGTGCCAGGCTTGTGTTTCATTCAAATGCAATCGAGAGCTAATTACACAATTTGGTCTCATTGGTAACATGGATATTTCTATAATGCTTTTTATAACAATTAACTTCTGATATGCAAACGAAACACAGAAATCCCAAAGCCTGGTGTGTCAGTAAATAAATCATGCATTATTTTCCTTTTTTTCTCGCTCTCTTCTTTCTTTGTTTATCATTTTGAATTTTTGTTTCCTGAGAAATCCCTCCCTAAAGGAGATTGCATGGAGCAGTACAAAGGAGAGTCTATACTGAACTATGCAGCGTTCAATGAGTCATAATGAAAAAAACCTCAACCCTGAAATAAAATATGAACAGTTTTGAAAGGTGAAAGATTATTCCTAATGAGATAAAAGTAACAAAAGCACCAAAACCCAGCACATGTACATCTGATAGAGAATATTGTACCCAAGCTATTCAGAAGCACGGACAAAGTTGCTTGAGCATTGCAGGTTGTGGGGATAAATATTCACAGTTCTGTGGAATTTATCATTGCCTGCACAGGGACAATGAAACAAATCCATGACTTGGGCAGAAGCAATAAAAAAAAAAAAAATCATATTTAGTCCTTGTCAAGGAAAGTACTGCATGCTGCAGTACAGCAGGGCTTTTATCTTCTCTTTTTTTCAAGATTGAACCATTGTATTTCTTGACACACACTGTCTAAATATCAGTCTGTCAGGAAATTGCTGTTTCTTTCTGCTGCATGCTCTTTACTGGCTGATCTAATCCCTTCTTTTCACCTGAAGTTGTCTCCATCTGAAATGGAATTATGCCATCTGCTGGGATACCAATGCAGAATAAAAATTTGCTTCCAAAAAAGAGAAAGCCACACAGAAAAAAAATAATGGAGCATTCATTTATTCTTCTAACCTCATATACTCTTGGTAAAGGGATGCAAATAAAACAAGCAAATAAGTAATTCTTTGATAATGTCTTTACTCAATGCATAATATTTTAAAAATACGTGCATTTTTTTTCACTTGAAATATATAATTGAATTCCAGCCATAGTGAACCTTGATTTTTTAAAGATATGTGAATTTAGGACTGTTTTTCTGAAGAAAATATCTCCTGTTTAGTTTTCACAGCTAGAATGAATCCAAAACAGCATTAGGTTTATAATGAAATTATTTTATTTGACACATTGGTTATAATCCTTTCCAAAGAACAATGAGACTGTTTTTGTAACTGACTTTCAGAAAATATGTATGTAAAATGTTTTTTTGTGAAACAGGAATTTAGAGTTTCCTTTTAGCTGATTTCCAGTGGCCATATATATTTAGTTGTACTTTGTGTTTTGTTAAATACATTCTTGTGGTATTCACTTGAAGGGAGGATATGAATGGCTCTGTGCCAGTAAAACTCTTATTTAATTATTGCATTCAGTCACCTGGCCTTTTCCCACACGTTCCCTCCATTTTGCAGTTTGACATGTCAGGAAACGCAGGGTTCCATTGCTTTTTACACATCAACCTTTCCCATTCTTTGCACAGCAAATCTGGACTTTCTGGCCCTGGTACTGTATTGCAGTGTCAATTTTCTCAGTTTATGGGCAGATTTCCAGGCAGTTTTTTGTAGCCCTGTGTCCCTGCTGCCAGGGGCCCTGGCTGTGAGAGGTGTGGGCAGAAGGGAGCGTGAGCTGTGGCAAAGATGGGACACTCAGAGCCCAGCTCCTCCTTCACTGGAACATCCCAGTGAACAGCGTGGGCCACTGATGGTGAAGTGTGTGAGTGCATTTCTGCTGCCCTAACAAGAGGCTTATGTGCTTAGCAAAAATAGGAAACTGGGCATGCAATTTATCTGCACTGCAAATGTGTCCACAAGAGGGATGGTGCGCAGCCTCGCTAATTTTTCTCAGTATGTAAGGAACGATGTGGAAGAGAGGCTGCTTCCCAAAAGCTGCAGGTATTCTAGTAAAGCCAAATGCAGAGCCATAAATCTGTGTTTGTTCCTTGATGAGGAATTACATCGTGGAGATGGTAATGGTTTATATCCAAGATAGGTGGCAACAGACAGGTTTATTGCCCGGACAGAGTTGGGGCAGTAGGAAACTCAGTGGACCTTGTCCTAGTTCTACAGTTAATGGCAATTTAGTATTTGAAATATGATGTTAATATCTGGATGTCCTCAAGGAAAAACTGGGAAAATAATTTTAATAATTAAAAAGATCTGAAAAATATGCTGAGCGATTTGGCCAAGATTGTGGCATTTCCTTGCCAATGGAACATCTGGCTACAACCTCTGGACTCCTCCACCAAAATTCAGCAGAGATTCACCAAAATTAGTAGATAAATGATTCACAGGCTTCTACTTTGAAATTTTAAAAAATGGGTAAAAAACCCTGAAAACTCACTTTTCACTGAAGATTTTGCCCATTGTCCCTCATACTCCTTATGTTACTCTCTGGTGGGACAGACTATTTAAGACTTCACTTACCTTTCTGAGTAATTGTGGACAGAACACAACCTAGGAAGAAAACGAAAAGCATCACTTTCAGGTCAGAAAGCACCTATTGGTCTTAACAGCTGTTTTAATTACTCTATTAATTATGGATCTATATTAATTATGGATTCTGTGTGTTCAGACTCAAAGATCTAGAGGAAAGGTTAATCTCTGCAGACTTTTACTTATATTTCTCTCAGGGCAGCCATTAATCAGAGAAGACAGAGTGGCACTTAAAAACATTGATAGCCATTCTGATGTTTGAGTTTTAATTTAAAAATCATAGCTTTCTACTTTGTAAAGAACACAGATGACTGACTGAATGTCATCAGAAATATAAATCCTTTAAAATATAAATCTGTAATGGGAAACCTGTCAAACTTTTAATTACTGTGTTGTAAAAGCCAATTAGCATTCTACAACATCACAGAAACATAGGGCAGAAGTCACAGAAATGCTTTTCCCTGTGGATATAGAGAAGAGTCTTTCCTAAAGGGGGCAAATTGAGGCTTGTCCAGCTTAAGGAATTTGGGGTGCTGCAATCCCATCCTCAATAAAGTTGCAAATCCTTAATAACTCTACTTCAGAAGAGCAGCACAAGATTTATCTTAAGCTGCTGCAGTGTATTCAAACCCCAAGCTAACACCCCTTGGGCTGCCTTGGCCACGTTGTGCCAATTGCTCCCATTGCCTGCTCCTCTGTGTGAAAGCAAAGATGAGAGGACAAGCATGAAAGGGGCCAGCAGACTGCTAAACCTGCTCTGCTGGGGACACAGACAGCCCCATGCAGGTGTTGGAGCTCGCGCACTCACTGCCCATGATCTGTAGTGGATTTCAGTAGAAGAGTCAGCACAATAAGTCTGGCTCATCAGTCCCCTGTCATCTTCTGTGACTAATTAACTACAACCAATTACCTTGCCTGATACTTTTTAAAAAATATCTCTCTTTGAAGGTATACTCTTATTGCACTTTAAAAGTAGTGTCCACTGAAAATGTGGCTTTCCACATCCTCTAAAATATTAACATTTTACTTTTTAACTAAAATCATCAAACACAGAGTCAAAAGTGCTGCTGTTTTTTCACAAACCTAAGCAAAAAGAATTTCTGTAGGGAAAATAACCTTAGTAGTGTGTCATAAAAAGAGCTTTGAAAGGTTTGGTTGCCTTTAGTTGGCTTTTGGGCTACGCACTTGTAGGCTCAGTGGTCCCCAGCAAGGTTCTGTGAATGCCTGGACACTTGGAGGTGCATTAGAGTCACACATGTATTCCCTGTGCTCACCAGCAGCTTTTCCTGTACCTCCCAGAAGCTGGTGAGGAGCTGGGGCTGACCATGGGCAGCTCTAACTAATGGCACATCTGAGATGTGTGCCAGCATCCCACTGCACCTCAGCCCTGTGCCAGGGTCCCAACACACCTTCTACTTAAGGCTGGAAGCAAACTCAAAGACAAAATGTAACAAATTGGCCATGCAGGGACCAGCGCACTGGGGCAGCACAATGCCATGAACTCACCATGTGTGAAGATGTGGCCAATTGCCCTGGCAGCAAGTAAGGCCTGAAACTGTTCCTCAGTTTCCTCAACTTTTGTTGGTTTCTGGTTAAAAGTGTCTGCAAGTATTTCACAAGATTTAATATTCAATGAAATTCGTTCCCTAAGTGAAGTATAGACGTCCAAATGTGGCGATCTAATTAGAAGAGAAGGGAACAAGATTTCCATATTCTCCCTAACACTTGAATTTTGTCTGCAGATCTCTTGGCATTTACTTTCAAGAGGAAAAAATCCCCAACACTACAATAGAGCTTTGGCTCAGGACACAGAAACCCTAAGAGGCCTAATGCAGTCAGACTAAATTATTATTACATACTGTTGTGTCTGACTTTAATGTTGTTAGAGTATTTTCATTAGTATTTTTCTAATTTTGTTATACATTAGGCACATTATGTCTTCATTCACTGCTCAGCTGCCAGAATATTTGAAATATAATCTCTTCTTCTCATTTTGCTGCATTCTCTGATGTGTTGTATATTTACAAAATTGTAAATTTTTGACATAATAACTAGAAATATTTTTTATTCTGTCAGGAAATATAGCCTGTAAAATAAGGAGAAGATAGTCAGAATTTGCAAGCTGTGTCACCTTTTACAGAAAAGGCAATGTGATACGTCACATTGCTAATGAACTTTAGGCATTATTACTATCAGACCTGTGATTAGATTCTCCTCTCCTTCTAGTTTTACTAAGGTTGACCTAATTGCAATATAATTAATGTGAGTCAAATTTGTCCTCAGCCTGTTTAAAGTTGCAAGTCCAAATCTTCTAATCATCTCTGTTTTTTGCATGGTAAAATGCCTGACATTTTTCATCTTCTTTTCCTAATAGGGTGCTGAGAAAATTTTACTAATGAATGAATCTGGGGAACTGCAGGATCTCTTAACCAAAATTGAGGTAATTGTATTTCTGCAAAAAAAATATACACAATATATATTTACTATTTGTAATCAAGTAGATTTTCTTTTTTACTATTTCCTTTTCTTCTACAATAAACTGTTGAACCCAAAGTTTTTGTTTTACTCTTTTTTACACCCTGTTTTGGGGTGGAGGCCCTAAAATTTTATTCTTAAGCTAAATGTGTGTCCTAATCTTGGGTCAAAAAGTACATATATAGGACAAAAAATGTCAGACTACAGGGAAGTGATAACTTCTCACTGAATACAACCACTGTGGTTTTTTTGGGTGTGTTTGGTTGGTTTGGGCTTTTTCCCTCTCATTTTTTTTTTCCTCAGAAATAGGTTTACTACAATTGCAATGGGCAGCCTGTTTTCTTCATTGCTGGAGATGCCAAAAGTGGTTCCACAGAGTTCCTCCATCTGTTCAAAGAGGAAATGGCCATTGCTCAGAAACTGAGCTAAAGCAATTTTGCTTTGTTTTTTAACTTTTGTTAGTTCTCTTAACTACATCTAAAGGTATATTTACAAGCCCAACAAGCAATATTGAATGTAAAGATTAAAACTATTATTCTCTTAAAATGTTGATATTATTTGCAATAATGTTCCATAAAGTAAGCATTCACCAAAAATTGCATAAGATGGGAGCACACCTAAGATAAAAAGAATGTTAATTTTACATTAAATATTTCCAATTTTTGTCCCTGGAAGAGCTGATAGTAATAGGAGCTGTTTGTCTTGTGAAGAAGAACAGCAAGTTTATGAGCTACAGAACAAAAAGAAAAAAATTCCTTGTTTGCATGTTCATCTGAGTTTTTAATAGGTGAATGCTGTTATCCATGGATTTGCAGAAATATTTTAATTTTTCTTGATGGTGCTCCAGGTACTACATTTTCTGTGAGTATTTTACTGTACTCTGGTAATAATTTGTCACTAATTTGTAGTGGTACATAACTCCTCAGACTGACAGTAGCAGGAATTGTATGGATTTTTGTTCTCTATTGGTGAACAAACCTGCAAAGTCCTTACTCAGCAGTGCAATGCTAAAAGATGTGGTGGTAAGTACCCAAAGTGGCATACGTTTCTACGTTTCCTTTCTCTGGTTTGAACTTTAGGGAAATTGTTAAATAAACTAGCCAAATTTTCAGCAAGTGAGACTTAACAGTGTCTATGAAATCTTTCTTCTATGCACCACTGTCTTTAATCCAATAAAAAAATAGAGTAAATGTATTGTTTTACTTGGGAATTGGGACAATTGAGAGGGCTCAAGCCTTCCTTAAAGCAATTTTCTCTGGGTATAACTGTTGGACATTGATGATCTTTCTTCTTTACTCTTAAAGCTTCAGCATTCAACACCCATAAATTTGAGTACCCCACTTATTTCCTTGAGTACCACAGTCAGAAGCTATGAATGGCTTTTTGATATCATCACCTTTAACTGTAATAGGTATAATATGTTCAGCATGAGCATGCAAATGCTGAAAGTCATAATATATATCTTAATGTACAGCACAGAACACATAACATCAGCATAAACTGCCTGGAGTTTGGATTCAATCATCTCAATACTTCCTAGATTTAATCTAGACCTAAACAACATCCAAGTAATGCATGCAAGCTGGCCTTTAGCTTGCTGATTTGGCAAGTGTAAATGCAGGCTAGAGAGGTATTAAGTACCAATTGCATGTGGATCTGGCCAAAGGAAAAGGCAGATTTACTGCTCTTCTATGGTGGTTTGCCATGGGATGGGGGGGTAGGCCTTGCCCAAAATGGAACCAGGATGTGAATTTTCAGCTGGCCTGGAGTCCTCATTGTCCTAGACCTATGGTGGTTTGTTGCAGAAGGATCCATTTGTCTGGGATGAGCCATTTGTCAGGTGCAGGGAAAACTCAGGGCTCAATTTAAGTCATCAGCAAGTTCCGTCTATTGAAGAAAGCATCAGACACTTATACAGCAAGTAATAAGCTCATGAATATTCTGTAATTTACACCATCCATTGGCTACACAACAACACTAGGTCTTCTCTGTTCTTCAGGGTTTACATTTTTCTTTTCTCATGTCTCTTTCACTATTTGTTATCATACTCGAGCTAGGCCTAAGGACACTCTATCTTGAAGGTGCAGGACTCCGAATTAGCCACGGCCTTGTGCTTTTCTAATCTCTAGTCAGCTAAAATCCCAACAGTGGTTGATGAGGTAACATGTTTGTCTTTCTTTCGTTCTTTGAGCAGAGAGTGCAGCTTCCTCAGGAGTGCTTCTCTTGTGGGGGCTTTGGTTTCCTGCCGTGCTCAGCGTGCCATGGGAGCAAGATGTCCGTGCTCCGGAACTGCTTTACGGACTCCTTCAAGGCCCTCAAGTGCACTGCCTGCAACGAGAACGGGCTCCAGCGCTGCAGGAGCTGTGCAGGCTGAGAATGGCACCTCCACATGTATAAACTAATTTTATGGTACTGCATCAGTTTGTAATATGTGGGGTTTTTTTAATTAATCCATTTATCCAAAACAGTCAATAAAAATCCATTTGTTGTATATTTCTGGTTTGAGCATTTGAGCTTTTTAATCTTTGATCGCCAACCATATCATGAACTCTAAAATACATCTTTCTAGTTTCCTTATAGAGAGATTTATAATCTGGAAAACTGATCACATGTACAAATTCTTTCTTCTTCTATATGGGATCATCAGCAGTCATATGTATTTTTGAGTAATGCCCTCAAAATTACAGCAAAATGAAGCTTAAACTTCAGATCATTGAGCAGTGCTGCTTTCAAATTCAGTGAGAATAAAGATTTTGTAATGTAGACTTGCCCAAGACTGTTCCACACAGCACTTTCCTGAAAAGTCACTAGGGCTGAATTAGATCCTGAATTCTATGTGGCAACAGAAGAATAGAAACATTTCTTGAAAGCCCCATGAATCAACTTTCTCTTTTAATACTGCTTTCTCTTTGTTACAAAAGTATTGTTGTTAAACAAAGTTACGAAAACATTTAATATGGTAGATGTTCATAACCGTGGTAGTATCTCAGAGCTTTATGATTCTGTATGTCACAGAAGATCTTATAATGATTCAGTCAGAACACCTGAGAGCTTTATAAATTGCATATAAATAATTGAGGATGAGATTTCCGTTTTTCAGCTTAGCAATTGTTGAGGTTTGATGAGTAGCCTGGCATGATTGTTTCAGGGCATCTGTTCCCCAGGAAGGCCCAGCTCTATGGCCAGACAACTCCAGAACTGTAAATACCTTTGCCAATTTTAGTGGGTTTCCCCAACACAAGCACAAGAGGATTAGTCAGCGACTAGTCTCAATGGACTGTGGGCTCTCCACATTGAAAACATTCCAGTTTGGAAGTTCATTACCATTCATGCACTTCCACAGAATACTTTTTAACAGGGTAACTTCAGCAGCCATCACCAACTGCTCATTCTGACATTGCACATCTGTCTCATGCTCCTGCTGCCAGTCTGTACTGGCACAAGGAGTAGAAAGGTATTAGAAAGCACCTTGCTGAGATTGGTGTTGGCTAGAAAAGGCTTCCCTGGTAGTCATTTCACCCTGCCCAAGGTGCATTACCAAGTATTGAGCCATGTAATTTATGTGTATTTCCTCATTCTTTGTAAAGTTGTGCTGACTGGAGCTTAGGAAGGTGCAGTTGTCTTTTCTAGATTTCTGGTTGGGTACCACATTTCTCTTCCCTCTTTCCAGTATAACCTTCCTTAATTTCTCTGTGATGAAAAAGTCAAGTATTTCAGTGTTTTGGGCACAGCACAGCTGTGGTATAAACCAGGATAGCCACACCTGCACAGAACGTGGCTTGCAAAAATAAAACCCTCTGAAGACCTTTGTTTTTCAGATGCCTTATTTTCCTCACTGAATTATCAGACAAACATCTTTCCTCCACCTCTCTTCCACTTGCTGTGTCTAGAGGTGGTAGCTGGTGCTGAAGAGCTGGAAAAGTTGAGCTTACCTATCTCTTTCAACATTTGAATCTAAGGGACTTATACATATTCTATTGCATGTTGAATGTGCAGGCTTGAAAGCGCTTGTACAATCCTACTGCTCCTACAGATTCTACCTTAAGGCTCAGAGGGAGCATCTGGATCTTCAGCATAACATGAGGGAGATTAAATTTTATACAAAGGCCATCCATAATTCTTAGCAGCACCCCATATAAAATTCTGAATTGCAGATGTGCTTACTTTTTTACAGCATGGGTAGGAAAAGAAGGAAGAAAATACATTACCCTTCTTTTATTTAATAGTCATAGACCTTCTATTTCTGGCTAATATTGCAGTCCAGACAGGTATGATACAGAATGAAAGGCAGCAAAAAGCAGAATACTGATGATTAGAAAGTCATAATTTCTGATGCATGAAACCAAACTTTTTTAGTTTTTCACTTGCTATGAATCTAGAGAGTGAGAACACTCTCAGTAGTGAATACCAAACTCAAGATGGCATACTCAAATCCATCCTTGAGGGAAATTACTAGTGAAGAAAATGCCAGTGCATTTGTGATACTGTAATCCCATAGTTTTCACCCCTGAGAGGATATATTGCCTGATGAGATGGTTCATATCACCATTCACCCACCATATGACCAAATTGCTATGACTTGACAAAGTATACTAAATGTTTTCAGATTTATTGAAACTGAAATTTCCTCATTGACCTGGAAGAAGGGTCTGAAGCTGGTTTTCTTGCCATTCAGGCAATCAGAAATTATTTCCCCTGAGAATGAAACACACTAAATCCCACTTCTTTCCTGATTCATCTCCAGGGGCTGTGACAGAAATCTAGAGACTGTCCTAGCCGAGGGTCTAACCCTTCAGAGGCACATAATGCCAGTGAGCAAAGATTAGGCAAAACCTCCTTAGTTTTCTTTTTAGAAGAAAAAATTATGAAAGTAAAAGGTCAAATTTTGCAGAACCTTTTTCCCCCCCCAAGGATTTTTATGGGAGATGCAGGACACCTAATGCTAACATAGTATTCTTCAGGCACTGAGTATTTGTCAGTGTACTAGAAAAGGATTTTTTCTCTCCTCTCTCATCAACTGAATTGCTAGTTTTTTCTCTGCAGCTATATTTTCCTTGTAAGAGCCTGTTTGAAAAACAAAACTTTTTTTTTTTTTAAGGAGATATTTTTACTCTATTGTTTACAATCTCTGCTAGGGTTTTGGGTCTGGCTTCTCAGCTCTCCCCAGCCATCCTAGAAACACTAAGTGTGGAAGAATGACAGCATTACAAAGGCAAGCCCAGGAGCCAGTTGAGAGATATGATGGTTTCTAACAAGATAGATGCATCAGGCAGCTAGCAATATAGCTTTTAAGTCAGTCTGAAATAAAAAAACGAGGTATGCAGGTCTGTTCTGATTTACACCAGTAGTACATCTTTACTTCCAAGGAGTTAGCAACCATCTCCTCCGCTCTAACAAATAAGACTTATCCAACTGCATCTTTGTATAGGAAATTTTCTATTTCTAAATGCGTCAAGCTCTGCTTCTCTTGTTTCTGGCCCTCATGACAAGGCTGAAGTAAGGATCCAAGTAAATGTTCTCTGCCTGACAGCTCAGCATATTGGCCTATATGAGAGCTGTTACAAGAGAGCAAGATAATCCTTGGGCTGTTTCTTGCAAAAGTCTTTATGAGCTTAAGAAAGAGAGTGGTTTGGAGTCTTCAGCTTGCAGCACTCTTTCCAGTGGACAACATAACTGAGCATAAGACTGTTTTTAACTCCCTAGAGAAATCTGCTGTCCCAGGAGCAGTGTAGGCACACAGTGTGTGGTAATTGGGATGGGGCTGTGGCTGAGCCTCATCCCCAGCGGGTGCAGCTGTGAGCAGCAGGGGAGCAGCACTCACAGCAATGAGCCAGGGAGTGCTGAGGTTACTGACCAATAACCAAAGGGAACAGAGAGCACACAGTGCAATGTGTGAACATGAGGGGGATGAAAGATTGGGCTGAAGAAGGACAGATGCCTGAAGCCTTCTGCTGTGGTGTGGTGTTGCTCTGACAGGGTTGGAGCTTTCGGACATTGTATGGTGAGACTCTGTGTGTTGTGGCTGTCTCAGCTGTGACGTATGCTGTGACAGAGCAGAGCGTAAATTATTTTCCTACTCTAAATAGTGAGGACTACATAAAGCAGGGTGTTCATCCTCCTCCTGTTTGCTCTTTCTTTGTAATGGGGTATTTCAGGGCCATTTTCTTCTCACTTGCACTAAATGAGTAGGGACTGTAAATTTTATTTAATATTGTACTATAAAATGAACAGTCTTTGGTTTTTTTTTTCTGTTGGGGAGTATTTTGCACTTTTAACATACCAATGGACATTAATTTTGTGGGGGAAAAATCTGGGCATTTTCAATATGAAATAGTGCATCTGGGAGTTGCTTTCCATTAAAACTTTGTTTCCATGGTGTATTCTTTCTAAAACTCCATAAAACAGACAGATTGTCTTATGTGTGAACAGCCTACTGTAATAAAATATTTTATATAAATTTGTAACGGTGGGAGTTTCTGCAGGCAGAGCTGCAAAAACAAGCTTAGCCTTTTATTTAAAGCTAAAAACTACATCAGGCATAGATCTTAATGATCTCCACATTTAATTCTGAAGTTTTCTGGCCTCAGACATGGTCCTGTCAAGTCAATGAGAACCAAGTCCTACTGATTTAAATTCCTGATCAGCTCGGTCTAGCCTATCTTCCCTTTACAAGGGAAGTGCTGTGAAATATAGACTCATGTAATTATTGCTGCACTGTATTAATTTATTCTATATAGTATAAATTCCTCTTTAAAAGTAAGAATATGGAGTCTTGAAACCCTCCAAGGTGTTCACTCACTCTGTGGTTTATTTCTCCTATACCTGTGAACATATAATAATGAATAAAAAAGATCTGATAGGTCTTGAAATAAGACAAAATAATTCACCTGTCAGTAAACATGCTTTGTAAGAAAGCTTTCTGCTTTTGACTTTAGTGTCCTGTGAAAAAAGTAACAAGAATTCCTTAAGAATTTTGGAGTTATATTAAGGAAAATAAGGAATGACTCTTACTGACATGAGTTCCACAATTTTCATGACTGAATACCTAATGGAAGACACTTCAGGTATTGTTCCTAGCTATTGCCATTGTACAATTGCATTAAAATGAATTTTATTCTCTTAGCTTGAGATATATTATTTGACCACCAAAGTATTCAACGGGAAATATTTATGCCGTAAATAATTTAGTAAGGAGAATTAAGATTGCTTAGCTTTCTTTAAATAATTTAGAGATGATAGTAAAGGACATTGTAGTCCAACAATAACTTGAAAAGTAAAAATTATTAGAACTAAATCTTTGTTTAATCCAATTTCTTTCTTCTAGCATTAATTTGCTTAGGGATAGTGAATCAGGAAATAATTGCTTTAGAAGGAAATGACTGTGAAAAAGCACTTGCAGTTTAAGCTCCTTCTAGTTTATCAGCTCTACTTTGAAAAATTG